AAGTGGCAGCGAAGCGCTTCGCACCTGATGCTGCCCGATCAGAGTATTTTCCATTGAGGTCGCAAGCTCTCGAGTCGAATGCACCGACGCTGCATGAGCAGGATCAGGCTTTGCGTCACTCAGGCTCAGACGTGAAAACTGAAGTCGCTGCTGTAGCGGGTCCCATTGCCGACCCAGCTGGTCCAGTCTGTGTAGACTCTGACTCTGATTCATCTTCTTCCAGTGAGAGCTCCAGCTCTGCGTCCAGTGATTCGGGAGAAGTCCCCCCCAGAATGCCTACCAAGGTACCGAGGATGGACGTGGAGTGGCCGCGTCACGAAGTTGCTGTGCATGTGAAGTCTCGCATCGCACATAGGATCGTCTTCACCTCGGAGGGAGGAACAATGGTCTTCTCTTGCGGGCGCTCAGGGTCCAAGAATTTCGAGAAGCTCCAGGGCTCACGAGAAGCAATGGCATTTTGCCAGACATGTCGGAAAGCCGACAAGTAGGCTGCGTACTGCGGCACAGGATGTAGCCTCAGGGCTAGCGAGTCCTTCCAAGGGGAAGTGAAAAATATGGTGTCCGTGCGATGCCTGAGGGAAGCGTGTCATCTGCGGAGCTGAACATGTGCAGGTAGAGTGACGTGTATCGTGAACGAGGTTTGAGTTGTGTGTGCATGCGCAAGTTTTGGCATAGATGGTTCAGACATGTCGACTGACACAAATCACAGAAACACCTGAAGCTTCACAGAAACCCTCAACAGCACTACATGTGTTCTTTGATGGATCATGGTTCGTACTTCGTCAAACCTACGTAGCTTTCTTTCTGAACCATGTCCGCTTATCTTGACTCCACTGCCCACTTCGAGCAGCGATGCAAGGCATATGGCATAACCTCCGAGTCCATTACGAAACTGGCAGGCATCGGTGTGAAAACCCTGGGCCAGGTCGCCCACGCAGTCGGAGTGCCAGGGCAGGATATTCAGGACTCCCAAATCAAGGAATGGGTCGACACAAACTTGACTGGCCTGAGTGTTGGTGAAGTTCTGAGTTTCAAACGTCTTCATTTTGAGGCCCAAACAATGCTCATAGCACAGCTGCGGCAAAGCATTGTGGATCCCGATGCCAATAGTCGACAGAAGCTTCCGGAAGCCGAGCGTGATCAGCGAGTAAAGCTTTTTAAAGATGCCAATCCCGGACTTTTTCTTGACCCAACGACGGAGCCAGGCCACAGCCTGTTGGAGCTCACTAGTGCACAGGAACGAGAGAATGTCCTAAGGCATATTCCAGTTGAGAAATGCGTGAGTAGACAGCATGAGGTGCTGAACCACCGGCAGCCGAGTAAAGTGCTTGAGGTGGAATCAGGCAAAATCAATGTCAAGGAAGTGACCGACACTCCTGAGCAGCCCGCCCACGGAGCGTTGGCTTTTCTTGAAGCCCTGAAGAGGCGAGGGTATGCATACAACATGGCCCGTTGCGTATCCCTAAGTGCCTATGAGAAGTATGTTGCCAAATTGCTTATGAACTTCCGGCGACCGGCTCCTCCAAATCACAGTCGAGTCAGCCTCACACAGCTACAGGATGCGGACAAGATGGTGTGGGTGCATATGGTCGAGCGGGGTACTCGACCCCGCCAGCAAACTGATGGGACGCGCGACATGGACACACACTTGCATGATGCATTGGATTCATACCAGGTCTCTGCATTGCTGCTGCCGTTACCGGTCGGTAACAAGCGCAAGCGGGACTACAGCCCGCCGCGAGTCCCGTACACGGGTAAAGGCAAGACATGGAAAGGCAATGGCAAAGGCAAGGGGGGCAAAGGCAAAGGCACGGGCGTCGCGCCGCCTCCCCAGCAGCACAATGTGGCAATTCCCAAGCGAATCAAGGATGCCGGTGGTAAGGCCTATACATCCAAAGGTTTGCAAGTGTGTTATGGTTTTAACTTGGAAGGTTGTAAGCTCGGCAGTGCTTGCACAAGAGAGCATGTATGTGCCAAGTGTGAGGGTGATCACCCGATCACCAAATGCCCACAGTGACAACCTCCAGAGCAAAATCACCCGCCGTCAGCTGTCAATGACTGTGCCAGTACCTGCACAGGAGACGTCGTGCTTAATACTCTTCATCCGGCCAACAACACACATCCGGCAGAAGCATTTGCTGAGGTTTGTTTGGCACAATCTTCAATTACTGCAGACCAAGTGGTGAAGCTCACCACTTTGTTAGATTCTGATCCTCAGAATCGCCCAGGCTATCCCCCGGACGGCTTCGTCTGGGGCACAGGTGCGACTGTGCATGGTGGAGTCCACGCTTTACGCACCAATGGATCTCAGCAGACAAGCCTGCGCCATCTGCGATCCCTTTTTCATAAAAGGACCGCGAGCTTGAAGCGAGCATTTTCAAACTTGGTTTCAAAAACTTGGCATGGCTTGTTTTTGCACGTGACAATTTTTGCATTGACTTCAGCGCATCGCCTCGTTTGGTCTTGATGACACAACCTTGGTATGCAGCAGCTCAGTGCTCGAGCTGAGTTGTGAAAGAATTTTCTGTGAAACTTGGGCGTGAGACCCTAACTGCTCCTGCTTTTAACCGGGCCCCCTTTTCTGACGTTCCCTCTTAGAGGGTGTGCAGGCTGGTCTCGTGTGACCAGCGGATGGACTCGAGCTGCAGAAGGGGGCCTGCTCTGCTGCTTATCACTGCTCAGCCTGAGCTCCGGCAGTGCGTTGCTGGTTTTATGAGGGCTCACCGCTTCCATTGAGGATTAAGCTTTCAGCTTTCATGGCCTCCGGCTCCATGCCCCCTGCATCTTCTGAAGGTGGGGTTTCTGAGGCAGGTGACAGTCGCCGGAGGGATGCCGCCATGGCCTTTGGGTCGTACGAGGCACATTTGGCGTCTTGCATGCGCAAGTTCAATAAGACTGGGTTTGTCCGATCCTGGGATTTTAAACTTAAGCCTTCTGCCAACTTGTTTGCCGGTATGGCACGTGCCAGCGGGCCCATGCCGCCTGTCATGTCTGTGCCAGTGCCCAAGATGGTGTCTTCCCAGGTTACCGTTGCTTCAGTTGTCAAGCTTGCCCTGGGCAGGGTCAGGCTGCAGGATTCTTGGAGTGTGCACCTTGACAAGAAGCTGCGTGCTGCCATTCAGAAGTGGGTGTCTATCGTCCTTGAGGATCCACTCACCTTTGATGTTGGCCGCAGGTGTGCTGCCGCGTCCTGCCAGGATTCCGCAGTCTCGCAAGGTTTGCTGCACACCTTTTCGGGCAAAGCTGCGGGTACACTGCACAATCGTGCGGGACCGTTGCTCCGTTTTGTGGCGTGGGCCAAGAAGCGGCGTCTCCAGCCGCTGCCACTGAGAGAGAAAGATGTGTATGAGTTCCTGCTTGATTTGGAGGATTCCAGCGCGCCGTCTTTCGGCAAGGCACTCATGTCCTCGTTGGCGTTTTGCAAGTTCGTTTTGGGTGCTGAGTCTTTCTCGGACTCCCTTTGCAGTGGCCGCCTTACAGGGCTTGCGCGTGCCTCTTTTCTTAAAAAGAGGAAGAGGCGACAGAAGCCGCCACTCACCGTTGCTATGGTCAAGAGATTGGAGCGCCTTGTTGTGGATGAGTCAGATAATGATGTTGACAGGCTGTGTGCAGGCTTTTTCTTACTCTGCATTTATCTTCGTGCTAGATACAGTGATGGCCAGGCCCTGATGAATCTGGTTTTGGATGAGCCGGACTCTTTCATGGGACCACTTGCAGGGTACTTCCAAGGTGAGACTTCAAGGACGAAGACCAGTTTCTCCTTGGAGAGGAAAACAGCATTGCTTCCTATGGTGGGGCCATTGTGCGGGGTGGCGTCCGTTCCTTGGTTCAGGACGTGGATGAGCCTTCGTGAGGACCTCGCCATTCCCGAGGGAGAAGATTTTCCTCTCCTGCCCAGCCGTGGTCAGGAGGGCGGATGGTCGGGTGTTCCGCCCACGGCCACTGTAGCAGCTGGTTGGTTGCACGGGATTTTGTCTGCCAGAGGTTTCCCTGAAGCCTCAAAGCTTGGTACTCACAGCTGTAAGGCTACGACCTTGTCTTGGATGTCAAAGTACGGTGTTGACGCGCTGCACCGGAGGATTTTGGGATATCACAAGGCTCCGCAGGATGAGATGATGCACATCTATGGGCGTGACAATGTTGCGCCTGCTCTGAGGTCTCTTGAGTACGTGCTCGCCGATATAAGGATCGGCAAGTTCCTCCCGGACACCACACGTTCGGGCTATTTTCCAACTGATCCCGAGCGTGAACCAGGTCCGGAGTTCAATGATGAACCGTCGGCCTCGGAGGCGTCACTGGACGAAGAGGACAACGTTCAGGACCTTCGTGCTGAAGAGGCTGCGGCTGATGAGATCATACCGCCTTGGGCCGAGTTAGCTGTGGGAGACCCTGATGCCCATGTGTACATCAGGCACATCACTTCCCGCAAGCTTCACCGTCTCGCTGATGAGGGCGGGAACCGACTTCGCTGTGGGAAGAGGTGCTCAAAGAAGTTCGAGCGTCTTGCTGAGAGGCCTAGGTTTATGGCAGATATGTGCCAAAACTGTTTCAAGTGATTTGCGCACTTGTGGAAGCCGGTACACGCGGTGCTCGCCGGACTCACTCGGTGATGGTTTGATGTGCTTGCGCACTTGTGGTTTGCCGGACTGCGCGGCTTGGAATTGGATGAGCTGGACCCACTCGGCTCACTTGTCAGACCCTTGCGGGTTTCATGATGTGCGTGAGTGCGTGATGCCACCGGTCCACGCGGTGGCACATGTACGAATTTCGGGCACTGGCCTGGTTTTGATGTGGCACCGACTTACTTGTCTGGTGTCATGCGAGTTTTTAGAACATGCTGAACACGAGTGTCGTGTGAAATACTTGCCGGGCGCCGTCAAGTATGTGTGATCGTGCTGAACTTGTGTCCGACAGTCAGCGGTTTGCAAGTGCATTTGTCGTTTGCGGTGAGTGTGCACTTTGGCTGGAGGCCCCATAGTGCCTTGACAGGTTTTTGTGCCATGGCCGTCACAGAGAGCAAGGCAAACTTCTCTTCGAGGGCGAAGGCTCTTGGATTGGAGGATCCAGTGCTGGTGAAGTTCGTTGACGCTGGCATTGATTGCATGAGCAAGTATGCTTTCCTGAGCTCATACGTGCCCGGGAGCACGGATGAGAGCCCATTCACTGCTGCCATCGTCAAAGTGCTTGGGCGTGACCCTTCGATTGCGGAGCTCAGTGTGCTTCGCCGCTTGCTGCATGAGAGCTACAACCTAACTGTGTCTGAATTACAATCACAGGTTGAAAGGACCGATGACTCTGCTCCGAGAAAGCTCGCAGCGCCCGACCGGGCCGACAGGTTGCAGCGACAGCAGGTTCGGCTGAGTGGTTTGACGATCCACGGCCCGACTCTTCCGGGTCATGCCGTGATCGATAAGTGCGTTCAGATGTATGAGGATAACGTGCTTCATTACTTGCCGCCTCAGTCGTGCCCTTGCCGTGATGATGAGGTCAAGTTCAAGAAGGATCGCGATGATAAGATGTTGTCCGTTGATGGTGCCGGTCATGTGTCTCTACGCACCCAGGTTGCAAAGGTTGATGCTGATGTGTCCTCAGACCTTCTCCTCAAGCTGGCATTGACCCGTCGAGGTTTGGCCCTAGACCAGGCAGGGATAGTCACCTTTTCGGAGCACGAGCGGTGGGTGGAAGCACTTTTTACCGCGCGTTTCAGGGATCCACCTGACAACTATGCACGTGTGACGCTGCAGCAGCTTATGCAGGCTGATCGGCAGCTGTTTGTTGAAGCAGCAGATCGCACTCGGCATGGAATCCAACTTGTTTCTGACGGCAAGCCAGTTGATAAGATTTGGAACGAGGCAATGAATTGCAATAATGTCACACACCTTTTGCAGCCTTTGGTCGCAGCCCCTCCGGCTCCTTTCAGGCCTGGCCCGTACGATGACCGAAGGCCCTGGAAGGGCAAGGGGAAAGGCAAGGGTAAAGGAAAGAGCAAGAACAATGTCCGTATGCCCGCTGAGCTTGCAGACGGAGTTCCATCCACGACTCGCGGATTGCCAATCTGTTTCGACTTTAACTTAGGCCGTTGCCAGAGAGCTGTATCCAATGGGAAGTGCGAGCGAGGACTCCATGTCTGCTGCATCAAAGGATGTTTCAAGAGAGATCATGGATACACGGCGTGTCCCAAACGCAAGAAGGAGTGACTAGGTGTGCAATCCATGGACCAAACGACTGACGAGAAAGATGCTGCGCCGAGCGGTGAGCCTCTCGTGCGCTCTTCTTCTGAATGCAGTGTCCCTGAAGGGGAAGTTTTGCATGCAGGTCCAAATGGGTTGCCTTCCGCTGAAGAATTCGCTTCAAGTCTGATTGGGAAGTGGATTGAACAGGCTGATGTTTTGAAGCTTTTCGATTGCCTCCCGAAAGCTGCGCCGCAACGCGGCTCCGGTGGCGGCATTTCATTTACCACTGGGGCCTTTGCCAAGGTCAAGGTGGGACTCCGGAGCAATGTCGCTGTTTTTCCAAAGTCCACGCAGGTGCTGGCTGCTTTTGTAAGGCAGTCTGCTCCTGCCCACAAGTTCACAACCGTCGTGCTTTTTGATGGTGTTCGCACGGCCCCGCATCGTGATCAGCAGAATTCCTTCTTGCCTAATTTGGCCATTCCCTTGTCCCGTTTTACTAAAGGTTCAATTTGGGTGCAATCCAGCAAGGGTCACCACACTCGGACTGTTGATGGTGCAACCCTTCAAGGGGTGGCATTGCCTGTGTCGGATGGCCCTGTCCTGTTTGATGCACGCAGGCAGATGCACCTCACTGATTCGTGGCAGGGCAGGAGGGTCATTTTGGTTGCTTTCTCTATTTCGGCCTTTGATAAGCTGTCTCTCGAGGCCTCGCAACGCTTGATTTCACTTGATTTTGCCTTGCCAACCGAGCCAGAGGTCGAGCACTTCCGTGAGCACCCACAGCTGCCTGCTCGCCTGCCGTGGCCGCCGCGCTTCCCTCTGCTGTCGAGTGCTTCAGCAACCAAGGCTTTTACCGAGGCGTTGGTTCCCAAAGAACCACTTTTTCTTGAGCTATGTGCCGGCACCGCCATGCTTTCTCGCTGCTTTCGTGAAGCGGGTGTGCCTGTCATGCCCATTGATCACCAGCACAACCGCCATCGTCCGTTGGCGCAGGTCTGCAATCTCAGCTTGACCGAGGAGTCCACTTGGGTCTTCTTGCGCAATTTGGTGCGTGATCATCCTATACTCTTCGTGCACGCTGCCCCGCCTTGTGGCACGTGCTCCGCAGCGCGCAACATAAAGCGAAAAGGGGTGTCCGTGGCCCCGCTTCGCTCTCCTGAGCATCCCATGGGTTTGCCTTCGCTGACTGGTGTCAACCTTGACAAGGTCAAGGCTGCAAACAAAATTTACGTTGGCCTAGCCCAGTTTCTTGATTTGCTTTGCAGGTCCAACATCCCATGGACAGTTGAAAATCCTGAGTCAAGCATGCTTTGGGCAGCTGCCCTGTTTTGCTCATTTGGTAAAGAATTTTCCGAGGGTCAATTTCGACATGTGTTGCTATGGTGGTGCACGATTGACCCACCGTACGCTGCTTACTTCTTGTGATGCCATCGAACATTTTCGCCAGCGCTGTCCGGGTGGGCACGACCACCTTCCGTGGAAGCCACAGCGCCGCGCTGATGGCACGATGGTTTTTCCTACTGCGCAGGAGGCAGCCTACCCCAGGCCCTTTTGCCAACAGTTCGTGGCGCTGGTCTTTAGGCACTTGGGTCGTCCCTTGCCTGTGCATCCTACTGCGGCCACGTCTGCCGCTGCTGCCACTTCTTCTGCTCGGCAACCTCGCGGGCGTAAACTGCCTCCTGTTATGCCTGAGTTCAAGCGTGTGCTTGTCTACCAAGTTCATGCTCTGCCGCCTGTTGATTCCAAGCGGTGCATTTTGCAACCCCTCCGCGATGCTCCTTCTGGGTCCAAACTTCTATCTTCGACCTCTTTACTGCTAAGCGGGGGTGGTTCTGGGTCTTCGTTGAAGTTTTCCCGGGATGAGGTTGTGCACTCGGATAGTTCTGGCAGTGATGCCAGCAGTTGCGAATCCGTGCACGGTTCCGACAGTGATGCCTCCTGTGCGCGGACCTTGGAGCCTACTAGCGATGCGAGAGCTTTTGAGGTTCGCCTTGGTGTGTACGCCTCTCCCGATGAATTTCTTGATGGGTGCAGAAGGGTTACTCATCCTTTCGATCACCTGCATGCCGCTCCTGATCGTCTCAAACAATGCATTTTTGACATGTTGGTCAATGGGCCGACCTGGGTTGTGCAACGGAGGGCGGCCCTACTCAGGAAGTGGACGTCCTGGGCCTCCGACCTCGAAGGCGAGGAACGTGCTTTGAAGGAGGCGCTTGATCCTCAGGTCGCCAAGGTTTTGCAAGGAAAAAGGCTAAAGCTTCTGGAGCGTATTGCCGGCTCCCTTGGTTGGGTTGACATGAAGGTTTTCGATGAACTGCGCAATGGTTTTGACTTGGTGGGCCATCATGAACACACTGGAGTTTTCGCTCACGAGCCCAGGCCACCTAAGTTGGCCGAAAGTGATTTCACTAGTGCCGCACAGTTTCTGCAGCCCGCTTTACTTGGAAAGATTCGTGCTTCTGCATCCGATGCGAATGCTCCCGAGCTGTGGGACAAGACTCTTGATGAGGTGGCTGATGGCATTCTTGAGGGACCGCTTTCTGCTGAGGAGTTGTTGTCTCGACACGGGCCGTGCTGGCTCCCTACTCGCCGGTTCGGCGTTGAACAGACTTCCTCCGCCGGCCGTAAACTTAGACCTGTTGATGATTTCACTGAGAACAAGGTCAATTTGGCTTTCGGCTCGATGGATAAGCTTGATCTTAACGCGCTTGACGAGTTGATTGGGATCAGTAGGTTGTGGATTCGGGTTCTGAACGGGCCGCCCGATTTCACAATCCCTCTTTCAACTGGTGAATCCTTGAGTGGTCGTCTGCATGACGGCTGGAAGAAGGTGGGGTGCGAGCCTCTCCTCACTACCTTGGACCTCCGAGCGGCTTATAAGCAATTTGCGGTTTCTGCGAAGTCGCGGGCCCTGGCAATAATCGCATTGCTTGACCCTTCTACTGCTGAGCCTGGACTCTTTGAGTCGAAGGCCCTACCTTTCGGGAGTTCCGCTTCGGTGCTTCACTTCAATCGCCTTGCGCGCCTATTCTGGCGCATCGGCGTGGAGCTGTGCGTGCCTTGGTGCAACTTTTACGATGACTTCCCTGTCATGTCTCCGAGTGGCATTGCTGACAACACCATGGAGACCATGATTGCCCTGTGTAACCTGTTGGGGTTTAGGTTCGCCTCTGATAAGCTGTCACCCTTTAAGGCCCAAGCCACGATGCTTGGAGTGGAGGTTGATTGCTCTCGCTTTTCTGAAGGCCTGGTCCTAGTCAGGAACAAGCCTGGCCGGGCCGAAGAGCTCATTGCCTCTCTTGACGAAGTCCTTGAGGAAGGTTTGATTTCTCGGAAGCGGTATCTAAGCTTAATGGGTCGCCTGCATTACACCGACTCGTACATCCTTGGCAAGGCTGGACGGCTCTTCATGGCCGAGGTCAGGTCGTGGGCAAAGTCGCATTCTGGACCTGAGTTGAAGCTTGATGAGTGTGTTCGGAGCTCTCTTGAGCGGTTGCTGAAACGACTTCGTTGTGGCACTCCTCGCCATGTCCCTTGCTCTGTCGCCGATCACGTTGTGCACATTTACACCGATGGAGCGAGCGAAGGTAGCTCTCACACCGTGGGCGGGGTGTTGATGATTCAGAATCAGGTTCACGCTTACTTTGGTTGCTCTGTCCCTGATGTCCTAGTCTCGTGTTGGGCTGACTCCATGAGTCACTTCATTGGACCCATTGAGGCCTATGCCGTTGCCGTCGCGAGGAAGGCTTGGCACCAATTCATCGCGGGACACAGATGTATTTTCTACATAGACAATGTGCCAGCGCAAGACGCCTTTATCAAAGGCACCTCTGTAAATCATCATGTCAGGGACATCTTGTTGTCTTTCGAGGCGGCCGAAGAGCTCAGTGCTTCTTGGTCTTGGTTCGCCCGTGTAGCCAGCCAGAGCAATGTGGCGGATGCTCCGTCGCGTGGCGACTTCGCCGATCTGCTTAATTCTGGGTGTCGTAGGGTTAGTCCCTCGTGCCCCTTGTCGGGTTGTGACCTTAAGGCCCTCCTGGCTCCCGCAAGGATTACTAAGAAAGGGGGCGGTCGCCAGACCGTGTTTCGCCCCGTGCAAAATGAAGGACAGTGCGATGCATCTTATGCCGGATTACTTGGAATCTTATGTTGCTTGTGTTTGGATTCATTTGCAAATAGACTTTGAGTCCTTTTTCCCTTTGCATATGTTTGAAAATCCGATTATGAAAAGGATCTCAGCAGACAAGCCTGCGCCATCTGCGATCCCTTTTTCATAAAAGTTAAAAGGACCGCGAGCTTGAAGCGAGCATTTTCAAACTTGGTTTCAACAACTTGGCATGGCTTGTTTTTGCACGTGACAATTTTTGCATTGACTTCAGCGCATCGCCTCGTTTGGTCTTGATGACACAACCTTGGTATGCAGCAGCTCAGTGCTCGAGCTGAGTTGTGAAAGAATTTTCTGCCCGCCCTCCACTCCCTGTGTGCTGCTCTGGCTCTCCGTGCCATTGAGCTTGCGAATTCTCATGTTGCCTACTTGGAGCGTTGAGCTCTCCTTTGAGCTCCACTTCAATTGCATTGCGCCGCACTTGCTTTGCGTGCTGCCGGTGTTGAGCTCTCCTGTGAGTTCCACCTGTGCCTGCCGTAGGTGTTGCTGCGTAGTGTAGGTGTAGGCTGTGCCAAGTTAGCTGTGCTCAGCTGCTTGTGCTCTGCTGGTAGCCCGGCTTTTTCACCTGCATTCTGTTTCACTTGTGGTAGTCCGTAGCTGGCGTGCGTGCTACTGCACTGTTCCCACCCTCCTCACCCACGCCCCCGAAGGGGGCGGTCGCCAGACCGTGTTTCGCCCCGTGCAAAATGAAGGACAGTGCGATGCATCTTATGCCGGATTACTTGGAATCTTATGTTGCTTGTGTTTGGATTCATTTGCAAATAGACTTTGAGTCCTTTTTCCCTTTGCATATGTTTGAAAATCCGATTATGAAAAATGCGGTCTTTTCCCCTTGTGACTCAGATGCTGGCTGCATATGCCAAGCAGTGGGTGCAGGATCACCCTTTTACTAGTCTCATGCTCTTCGCAGATGTGCAAGCGCCCCTGCATGCCGATCGGAACAATGCAGCGGGTGTAGACAATTTTCTAATCGGTTTGACTGGCTTTGATCATGGAGAGCTCTGGGTCGAATCGTCCTCAGGTTCTCAGGTCTGCCCTGATCCAGCCTATCCCGGCTGCGGTGAGCTGCTTCCAGTCTCACGCACTTGTGCGTTTTTCGACGCTCATGCAAAACATGCTACCTGCCCATGGACGGGTCACCGAGTTGTTCTTGCAGGCTTCACTGTCAAAGGATACGATGCTTTCGGTCAGGCCTTGCGTGCTGAGCTGACAAGTCTCGGCTTCCAGATACCGCAGTTAGCCACGGGGGATTTTATTTGTCATACCCTAAAACCTCCCCCTCAGCCTAGCCTCGAATCTGGTTTAATCCCCACATGCCCCGTAATCTTCGAGCTGTTCTCAGGCACGGGGCGTGTCACGGCCTGCCTTAGGAAGCTTGGCGTAACCGCTGCGCATGCAGTGGACCACTGTGTGCACTCTCAGGCTGCCGCCTTGCCACTTCTAGCCGACCTCTTGACACCCGAAGGTCGTGAGCTCTGTCGCTTCTGGCTGCAGAGCCCTCTGCTGGTGGCCGTTTTCGCTTCACCACCCTGCGATGCATCCTCGCATGACGCCTTGTACCAATTCCTGAGTGATGTTGTTGAGGAGTGTCAGCGCCGACGTGTGCTCTGCGCCATTGAAAACCCTCAGCGCAGTTCCTACTGGGACACATCTGCCTTCCGTCGCATTCAGCATCTTTGTGCACACTCTGTCAGCTTTGACCAATGTGCTTTCGGTGGCTCCCAGCCAAAGCGAACTACCATTGTCAGCACGTCACCGTGCTTTGCATCCTTGGCAAAAGACTGCCCAGGTAAAGCCTGTGCGGCGCAACATGCAGCTGATCAGGAGACCGCCTACCCGCCCAAGCTGGCTGCTTCCATTGCCCACGCACTCGCACGCCATGCTTGCAGTCTTGGTTGGAACCCGGAAACCCGCTTGCAACAACCCCACTCCTTGCAAACAGCATGCCAGGCTGTGATCGGGAACCAGCCCAAAGCCTCACGATTCCCTCCTTTAGTCCCCGAACATGCGCAGGTTGTCGTCATGACCGGACCGTCGTCAGTCTCCCTGCCCTGTGAGGCCATGCAACGCATCAAAACGCCATGGACTGTTCCCTTGGAATGTTCCTGCACTTTGCGTGTTATCCCTGCCGAGGCTCAGCTTCTGCGGGTCTCCCCCCTCACGGCCAATAAGGGGAAAGAGCAGGCTGATGATTTGCGGAACCGTTGTGAAATAGCCTGGGGCATTCCCTTCAAGCCCGAAGCATTCGTGCGTGAGGCCGTCAAGTCAGGGCATCCAAAACTGGTGCCCGTCAATCTCCCGCAACCCCTTGAAAAAGCTGTGGAGTTGAACAAGTCGCACAGCAAAGAGGAACTGAAGGCTTTCCGGGAAGATGGTTCAGGAAGTGGGAGCGCAGGGCGGAAGAGTTACGCCCCCAAGAGGAAGAGTTGAAAAGTCATTTGCCGGAGCACTTGAAAAATATCTTAGGCGGTAAAGGTCTACTGGTGTGGCGGGAAGTGCTTGAATCCCTTGGGTATGAGGACTTAGGTGTAGTGGAGGAAGTAGCGCGTGGCACTGAACTTCTGGGTCAGGTGCCGCTGACAGGAGTGTTTGATCAGTCGTTCAAGCCCGCAGTCGCTACTCCTGAGCAGGTCAAGGCGAGGGCTGTGGCGAGCCGCGAGAAGGTGCTCGGCAACCTGAAATCGCAGGGCCACCTAGATAAGGAGGTCCAGGACAAATCGATGAAGGAAGTCGCAGAGGGTTGGCTTAGGGGTCCCGTTGGGAAAGATCAACTTAAGCATAGTTCTTTGGTCAGTAAAAGGTTTGGCCTTGAGCAGGGTGTAGGAGACAGCAGAAAGGTCAGGTTGGTGGACGATCTTAGTGCTAGCACCGTGAACGATGCAGTGCAGACGTCCGAGTCGCCGAAGCCACATGGAGTAGAGGTCGTATCAGCGTTGTGCATGAAGTGCCAAGAGTGCATGCCCCGGAGACCCATGAGCGGCAGATGCTATGACTTGAAGGCGGCATACAGGCAGCTTGGATTGAGTGAGGGCGCCCTTGATGCCTCGTTCGTTACCTTCCCCGACCCCGAGTCGGGTGACCCGGTGATATATCAGACGCTGGCATTGCCCTTCGGGGCCGCGCGCTCCGTCTACTCTTTCTTAAGAGTATCTCATAGCATCTGGTATGTAGGCTGTGCACTTGGCTTCTTATGGGCAAATTATTACGATGACTTTCCGATCATCTGTCCCGATGACGACGTCCAAGCCCTGGAAGAGTTTGTGCCGCGACTTTTTAGGTTGTTAGGCTGGCGATTCGCAGAGGATGGTAGCAAAGCGGAAAAGTTTGGAAAAACGTTTTCTTGCCTAGGGGTTGTCTTCGACTTGCGACCTTACTGCAGCGGAAGAGTCGAGGTGGACAACACATCGACCCGGAAAAGTGAGTTGCAGGAAATCTTGAGAAAAACAGCAGGCCAGGGAGTTATGTCAATCAGTGCGGCACAGAAGCTCAGGGGTCGCATGCAGTTCGCGGACAACCAGATTTTCGGTCGGGCGAGTCGCTTATGCTTACAGGCTGTCACCGAACATATCGTTACTGGCCGAGATGAAATCGGCCCGGCCTGCAAAGATGCCATGCTGATGTATGCCAACATTCTTGAAGTGTGCAAGCCACGAATCCTGGCAAGGCCTTGCCAGAAACCAGTGTATCTCTTCACCGATGCGGCATTCGGCAGGACAGAGAACAAACCGTGTTGCGGCATAGGAGGAATCCTGTATGACTGCGAAGGTAAGGCATTGCGATTCTTTTCATGTTTCTTGAGTGTTACACATATGCAGAAACTAGGACTTGATGACAAGAAGACCATCATTTTCGAAGCAGAACTTTTGGCATATGTAGTCGCACTGGTAGCTTGGAGAGATGCAATGACGGGAAGACCCCTTGTCGCTTACGTTGATAACAATAGTGTGAGAGACCTGTGCATTTCGGGTCGGGGGCGGAACTTATTCGCAAAAACTCAAGCCGCACTATTCCTTACAATTGAAGACATGATCAGTGCTAACGTGGGTGGCGAGGGTACCAAGCCCATCGAACCCTGCTGACCTCCTTTCTCGCGAAAAGGTGGACACACTTCGTGTTGGCAGCAGGAAGATTAGGTCTTCGGATGTGGAGAGTGCCCTTAGTGAAATCCTCGCTTAGCGGTTAAGTTGGGGTTAGCCTGTCCTGCCATCCCTAGTGCACTAGGTTAGTCACTGCCGTATGGTGGTGTTCGACCGACGAGGATCGTGGATTCCCAAAGTCACCAGAGAAAAAGAGTGTCGCGCCAGCATGTGCAGTGTGTTTACAGTTGCTGTGTACTTGTGTCTTCGCCTGTGAGTGCTAGAACTGCGCAGAAACAACAATGAAATAATTTTAAGCTGGCGGTCAACTTGTTGATAGCGTTTTAAAATTCTTGATTTGAAAAACTCGGGGGAGTTTCGTTTCTGATGAGACTTGGTGCAGCAGAATACATCTCCGTGCAGTGTGAGCCACAGTGGCTCAGAAGAAAAATTTTCCCGCCCGCCCACCCAACTTGGGCACATTCGCAAACAGATTTCGGCTCTCGTGCCGCTCTTCAGCTCAGCTTCCTGCTGGGGCCCTGGGCTTTGCAGCTTGCACGTTGCCAGCCTTGTTAATGACACAAACTCTTGAAGCCACTCTTCTTGAGATCAGCCGCTGTGCTGATGCACCGTAGGCCGTTGCGGATGGGGTTAGCCTGTCCTGCCATCCCTAGTGCACTAGGTTAGTCACTGCCGTATGGTGGTGTTCGACCGACGAGGATCGTGGATTCCCAAAGTCACCAGAGAAAAAGAGTGTCGCGCCAGCATGTGCAGTGTGTTTACAGTTGCTGTGTACTTGTGTCTTCGCCTGTGAGTGCTAGAACTGCGCAGAAACAACAATGAAAGAATTTTAATTGGTTGTTTTCGCACATTGGCTATGGGTACCAACTTCGCGGTAGAATTAGCGCAGCACTCTCATGCAGTATTGCTTTACAGAGCAGGTTGTCTCCGTGAACATGAAACCGTCCGGTATCGGCACGCTTTGCCGGCTGGACCAGGGTTTGACTTATTGTGCATAGATGACCACATTTACCTTCTGCTCATTCCTTTGAGTTCGGTGGCTTTGCCTCCTCAGCCTGACAGACGTGATGCTCGGCTTTTGCGTCAAGCTGCGGATGCCTATGCCCGAGAGGGGCTGCGGGTATCTGCCAACAAAGCTGTGCGGAATGTGTTCAGGAGTGTGGTGTTAGGAGGTGAGTTGGACGGCATCCGCGGTGATTTGACGGCGCCACGATTGCGCATCGTAGCTCTTGGAGCGCTGACCTTTCAGACTGTGGTGTTAGGATGTTGCACTAAGGAGCTGCTGCAGTGCCTACTCGGGTGTTGGATTTTCGTTTGTATGTTTCGACGTCCATTCATGTGCATCATGAACCAAGTGTTCCATGAGCTGCGCGACAAGTCTGAACGTACGATTTTCAGATTGTCCCACGGGGCTAGGCAGGAGCTGCTGTTCATGGTGTTGGCAGGGCCATTCATTGTTACTGACCTCCGAGCGGAGCCGCTTGAACGCATTTTTGCCACAGACGCCTCAGGGTTTGCAGCCGGAGCCTGCCAAAGCCCGATCTCGAAAGCAACCTGTTTGGAACTGATTCGTCATGCCGATCACCGGGGGTTTCACACGTCACTTTTGCCGAAAGCTGACGAACTTGTAACCCGGCTGGGGGCCCTGGGTGACCTAGACTCAGGGTTTGGCGGTGACGTTATTCCTTCTTCCTTATCCGAAGGGATCCTCTTTGACTTTCTCGAGGTGTTTCGAGGAGAAGGCACATTGCCGGCTACGGCATTGCAGATGGGCTTCAGGGTTCACCCCGGGTTCAACATTGAGCATGGCCCCAGCGGAGATGCCAGCTTCTTCGATTGTGTGGAGCAGGTGATCGGCTTGATTTGCAGGCGAGTGGTCGCTTACGTCCATGTCGGACCCCCGTGCCGGACCTTCGGAACTATGTGCACTCCTAAGTTGTGTAGCAAACGTGAGCCTTGGGGTTTCAACTTTGAGGACCCGGACACTGCTTTGGGGAACAAGCTGGCCATTCGCTCCGCTTTCCTGTTACACCTATGCGCTGCTTATGGTTTGCTGGGTTCTGGGGAGCAACCTTCAGGTTCTGTTATGTTCCGGCTTGGTATCTTCCAGAGGCTACTGAACAAGGGATACCACCGAGTGTCTTTCCCTTATTGTTCCTATGGCACTCCTATTTTGAAGCGCTCCACTTGGATTTGTAACAACCCAGTCTTGCTGCAGCTGCGTGGAGAGTGTACCTGCCCTTTGGAAGGCAAGCACTTGCGCCTTGGGAGCACTTTTACGCGAGAAGGTGTGAAACAGTTTGCGTCTTCTTGCAGACCCGATTGCTGCAGCGTGTATGGGCGAGTTCCTGCTATCGGTGAGCGCTTGAGCCGAGTATCAGGCACACATCCTTTGCCTTTCTGCCGCAAGCTCCTTGAGTTGCAACAGCCTGCGATACAACAGTTACAGCATTCGGTTGGTAGTCATTCGAGGCCTGCACACGAGCCCCCGCGCTGGATAGCAGACTTGGGACACTCTCTCCGCTGGAGGAAGTTATTCCAATATAGGTTTAGCCGGGTGAACCACATCAACATCAACGAGGAGCTCAGCTATCGAACTCTCATTAGGCACGCTGCTAAAACCTGTCCCAGCCACCGGTTCCCAGTGTTGCTCGACAGCCGCGTCGTAGTGATTGGTTGCAATTCCAAGGGTCGGTCTAGCAGCGCCAAACTCAATTACTATTTGAGCACTTGCTTGCCGTACGTCGTCGGTGGCAATCTTTACCCCGCTTTGCTGCATGTTGGGACCCATGACAATTGCGCTGATGATCCTTCGAGGCTGGTTGAACTGAGGTCTTCCTCCGCTGAGGCTCCGCTGTGGCTTCGCCGTTTCTCTGCTGGCGACAAGACCTACTTCAAGGCTGTCAGACTGGCAGATGATATCGCAGGGCCGTTAGGTCGTTGGGCTAGGTTGTCCTTGGTCCTTTGCGCTCTGCTTTACGATGCCTCGCCCCCGCCGGGTCTCAGCGGGTGCTAGAGCAGGCGTCAATCTGGACGCTACAGGAGGGCTAACTGCCGTGGTGGCCAGGCGCCGGGAGCAGCTTTACCACGACTTTTGCAGCTGGGCTGAGAGAGAGCTGGGATGCCATTTCAGTCAGCTCTGTTGTACTGGACTGCTGCTGGGCACCACTCTGGTCGCTTTTGGCAAGTTTCTCTTTTATCAGGGTTCTCCTAAGTATGTGTTTTCGGAAACCATTAATGCTTGTGCCGATCGCTTTAAGCACTACCGTGCTTTCTTCGCCAGCGCGTGGAGTGTACTCACGCGGTGGGAAGAGGAGGAGCCTGCAGAGCGATCCATGATCATACCTGTCAGTGTTTTCAAGGCAGCCTTAGCAGTTTCGCTGCTCTGGGGATGGCCATACTTCGCTGCTGCTTTGATGGTCGCGTTCAACGGCCTTCTCAGACCTGGTGAGTTCCTCACCTTGAAGCGACGCAACCTGCTGCTGCCTCGCGACCTTCTGTCTGATTTACCGGTGGCGTATGTTCGCCTCTTGAATACTAAAACCAAGCGCTTCATGCTGCGGCAGCACGCCAAAATTTCAGATGCGCTCACTGTCAAGTTTCTGGATGCAATCTTTGGTTCCTGCGCGTACGCCGAGCCTCTTTTCAACTGCTCGCCGTACGTGTTTCGGCGCCGCTGGGACGCTGTGTTTCAAACTTTGGGGGTTCGCACTGACGAAAGTTCTGATGGCGTCACTCCCAAATGTCTCCGAGGCTCCGGAGCGACATGGCTGTACCAAGTTACCGAGAACATTAGCAGCATACAATGGAGAGGGCGTTGGCAACAGCGCCGCACCCTGGAATATTACTTACAAGATGTGACTGGCCAGCTCTTGCTTGCCGACTTGGCAGAGAGCCATAGGCAACAAATCCGCGCGCTGGCTGCGTCGTCCGGCGCACTGATGGCCCACTTCGTACATAGCTCTGGCTTTCAGCCGTAAGCACATGACGGAGACGGAAGGACTCTCACTTTTCGAGTCGTACAGGATCATGAGCTGAAACCAGCTGTCTGATCTTCTTTAATCGCTGGCCAGTGAAGCAGTTTCCCTTCGTTTGCTTGCAGCTCACTTGGGACACTTCACGTTGAGTGCAAAAGGAGGCTTGCATCCATGACTCGCATGGATTCATGCTGTATGCATGCACTCCGCAGCTTTTCGGGCCCTCCCACTCCGCCCGGAAGGACTCTCACTTTTCGAGTCGTACAGGATCATGAGCTGAAACCAGCTGTCTGATCTTCTTTAATCACTGGCCAGTGAAGCAGTTTCCCTTCGTTTGCTTGCAGCTCACTTGGGACACTTCACGTTGAGTGCAAAAGGAGGCTTGCATCCATGTTTTTGTTCTGTCACTCGTCATTTTTCAATTGGCAGCTTCGAGCCATTCCGAGCAGTTGTTGACTGTTGTTGATAAAATGCGGGTCTGATTTGGCGGGTGATTCCAGTCGGGTCCCCATGACTTTGTTGAATCGGCACTTCTGTGTGATGTGGCATGGAAGGCTTTGATGAATGAGACGGACGATAGTATGAGGATGATGACGTGCTTTTGGGATCAGCTAGCTGCTAGCTCGTTTGAGGTCCCTTCCACATTTTCAATGAGCTCGTTGGTCCACTAGTCTAATTAGTTTAATTGCTAATGGATTTCCGAATAGAACAGAAAAGTGCCAAACAGTCCATCTCGGAGGTCCTTTGCGCAAATCTAAAGATTGCACAAATGCAGAAGTGGTGCAAACTTGTTGCCAAAGCTTCGCCAATAATGAATCGGAAATAGGACTCCGGTTGATCATTTCGCAAATCGCACATGCCGCATCTTGCACGCTTTTAGCTAGATCTGTGGATGCAGTTAGATCAGAGTCCAGCGCATTGTTTTTGTTTCGGGCAATGCGGCGATGCAACGTTTCGCTGAAGGACGCCCCTTGCATTCACAGCCGTGCCAACAGTTTTTCTCTGGACTTTGAAGAGTGTTTGCATCCTGATACATGCAAGTGAAACGTTCAGTGTATCAAGCTGCTGAGAAATTTGGATACGAACCACAACAGCATGCCTTGATGTGCATGAGTTTGTGGTTGGTCATGACACTATAGCAACTGCGCGTGCAGTGCACTTACATGCCCTGCCAGCAGCTGGTCAATCGAGCAATTGTCAGCTGTCACGTGAAGTGATAATGACGGAACCTTCAAAATCTGATCTGGAGGCAGTTCCTGTCGCATCAAGTTGTCACCGTTGGGGGGGCAGACTGCATTTTGTGTTACAGTTGTAGGACTTTGCATGTGAGACAGGTTCTTGGATTTTACGGACATGGACCCTCTTCCTCGAGAGGGCCTCGAGTTGGCATGTTGTCTGCGTTGTTTTACTTCCGTCGGCTTAGGTACAGGGAGTTCAGCAATTTCTTCGAGTCCCCTCCGTTCCGTGATTGCCTCACCAATGCCGACAGTGAGTGTCACTATTGCACAACATTGATGCTAGGTTTTCGTTTGCCCGAGTTTGCGCGAATTGATGGCTGGGACGAAGTTGTCTGAAGCTTGGCATTCATTCACACACGTTGCACAGCTCGGGGAATTGCATGCACAGTCTGAGCGAGGTTTCCTGCTGTTTTTCGGAGAAAGCCATCATGCTGATGAAGGTGCCGATGTAGTTTCGAGAATATCGGGATCCGCAATCTTGTGACATGGGTCTGACATGTTGAAGGTCAACGAAGCCGTCTGTTCAACCGTTTGTCATCCTGCTGACATCCGATAGGCTGCTCTGATGAACGACAAGGCAAGCTTTGACAAGATAAAGTGCTTGGGCGATACTTGGCAATTTTTCTGAGAGTGTTTCTTGGAGTCCTGGACATGGAACCTGGGAACTCTCTGTTTTTGACTCTTGTTGACACTTTGCCAGGGCTTGCAACAAGCCTGCAGAAGCCAAGGCCATCCGTAAGCTGATAGACTGGGTCAGAGGGAACTGGGTGCTGTACAATGTGACGGAGATGCTTTCAAGGGGGGACAGACGATCTGCTAGTTCAACGTGACGAACATGTGTTTTTGGAGGCACTTGGACGCAAAGTTGCGCCTTTCGACGCTGCCAAGTGGAATGAACACGTCCACGAGGCGGGAGCCTGGAGCTTTCAGATAATGTGCGAGATCAAAGAACTGTACATGTTCGCTTTCACCGAATCGAAGTGATATTCTAGCACTCCCCGATGCCCGAGACGGTGAGGTGGCTTTCGAGGCATGCTTGCAAAAGTTTGCTTCCAGTGAGGAGCTCAAGAAGGACTACTGGGAGTACGCGGTCTCCATTTCTATGCTTGCATCTTCAACAATGCGTGATTCGAGCACTGCCGCGATTCGAGAACCGCACGGACCTACTATTCGCCCGCCTCGTCAGGTTGGCCTTTGCTGGGGTAGGTGTGCGCGTTGTTCGTTCGCTCGTGTCCAAACCTTTTGTGGCTTGAATCCTTGAGTCCCAGACGCCCTGTGCGAATCCACCGCGTGTTCTGCAGCGTTTGCGGACGCGCGCATCACCTCGGCAAAAGAATCGGCACCCGAAGCTGCTGCGTTTCCCAGCATGAAACCCTCGCTGCTCTAGATGTCAGTGCCAGGGTGAATCGTCGCTGCGCGAAGCCGCCGCTGCAGTGTGCGTATTCGAAAAGACGCTCTTGCTAATCTCCGATGCAGGAATCCAGTTGTGCCACTGTGAAATTCAGTTTTAGCTTTCGCTCATGTCAATGTGGCGACTTCATATTCTGAGATATCTAGCCATGCAGTTTGCTTCGACAGCACTTGTCGCCAGAAGCTCCTGGACACGGGCGACATGGTGATCGCAGAAGCTACGACGAAAGATAAGATTTGGGGCATCGGTCTCAATGTTGGGGTCGTATCCTGAGCATTTCGTGCTATCGTTCACTCACACGGTTTCCTAGAAAAGCTTGTCCTCTGTTGTCTTTCCCCGCAGGACCCCAGGGTGCAAGACCCAGCTCGCTGGCAGGGGAAGAACATCCTAGGCAGGGTCCCCTATATGCCGCAGAGCGAGCGGTCAACTCAGCGGCGTGCTGCTCCGAGGTCAGGCCCTGATGAGGACGCAATGGGAGGCAACTTGTGAGAGAGGCAGCTGGCCTGTCATGCGTCTGAGGACCCGCGAGCACTTGCGCAGCAAGGCGGAGGCATCAGGAGCCTTTGCACATGACGGAGACGGAAGGACCTCCCAAGGTGTAGAGGAGCCGCCGCAGAAGCGTGCCAAAGGCCCTCAGCCTCAGCCACCGACTGCGGAGTAGCGGAGCGAAAAGCGTCCAGCCTGCCAGACGACATTCTGCCGAGGCTAGTTGCATCATGTGCGCACACTCACTCCATGTAATCATGCTTTGAGGGTTTCGTCTTCGAGACCAAGGACATGGCTGGCAGAGCTATCTTCCATGTTGTCACCACACTCACGAGACATGAGCAAAACTTGTGCAGCCTGCGGCTCCTCGAGTCGCCTCGCTTCGAATGCAGCCGTTCGACTGCAGTGTTGATGCTTCACACAAGTCGGATCCACGTAAAAAACACGGGTCCATATGTAAGTGTACCACCAAAGAGATGTTCATCTCAGCTGATCGTAAATTGAGGATTTCAGGAACAGGAAGCCGTCTGGGTACTTCGTGAGTAGTGGCATGGTTTGTTTCAGTTTGGCCGTGCTGACGTAGCCGCCGCAACTCATCATGTTGCTTTCTCCGAGCCCTGGTGCTCACTGGCCGCCGGACGGGGCCGGGGTGCCTCGAGCAGTCGGCCGGGTGGTGGCGGTCTCAACCGCGTTCGTAGGCCGGCGGGAGCTCGGGGGAAGTTGTGATGCCCAAGGCCCAGGCGGCTGACGCTGCCGCTTCCGCTAGGACCAGCGACTTCCAGCACGCAGGCCAACTTGCACTCTTATGTTGGCTTCGCGATCTTGGCAGACCATTTCTTGGCTTTCCAGGTGCTCTGGGCTTGAGCGTTGGCATCGCGGCATGCCACACTGCAAGACGCTGCCGCAACAAGTCCCTGAGATTCCGACGTGCCTTTCGACTGCAGCGTTGTTGCAATGCCGGTCAGTGACAGACGAGCTGTAACACAGCTCGTGCATCAATTCGCCCAGTGTTGGAAGGTTTGGACCGCAGCCACAGCCGTCGAGACAGTGGTGAAGAGTCCAGCCATCGAAGACGTGTCGAAGGAGCCTCCAGATGAACCAAACGAGCGCAACTTAATTGTCTGCTGTCCGCAAGATTCCGCAAGCAGCAAAACTCCGTAGAGTTGCTCTTGTTCTTGTCTAAGCAACTTTTTCAGCCCTGGTCTTTCTGAGCTGGTTGATTTCAGGGCCTAGGCTCCATAGAAGTGCTCCTCCCATTCCACAAATTGAGAAGCAGCTTCTCAGAACAGGGATCTCCTGTGACGCTTGCAGCTCCATCGTGAGTTGAAGTTGTTTTGCTGAAACATCGCCATATCCTCCGGCTTGCGAAACGGTAATGTCATCTATCACCACCTTCAAAACCCTTCAAACCGCAGACCACTGCATGTTTTTGAGGTTCGCTGCAATGCAATTCGTAGCAAATCCAAGGTCCTGCTCGTGGCCGCAGCGCATCCTGGCAGACAAGTTGTAGCCGAACTAACTGATGCGCATGCAGCCGATGCAGCCTGTATCGAGGTATGTGATTTGGCAGATGGACAAGGTAAACATGTCCGTGGCCATCTTGCCCATGGCAGAGCAGATGGGCTGGGATTCCGCTGATGAAGGCCGCCTTTAGAGCTCTGGCAGTTATTGTGAGCCTGTCTGAATCTGTCCGAGGTGTGATACAGAGTTCCATCTTTTGGGGCTATGCCGCGACACAGATCATTGGTGGCTTCCTCGCAACGCGCTTTGGTCTGAGCCCTAGTGGTAGTTGCCATGGATACTGGCCATTTCGCACATTCCACTGATGAATCGCTTTCAGGTGGGAAGCGTGTCCTTCTGTTTGCAGTGACCCTCTGGTCCTGTGCAACGATGCTGGCACCTTTAGCTGCCAACGTCTCCACACAGGTGCACAGTTTGCCTAATCTGGTAAGTTGTAAACGTTGGAGCATATAAGATGCTGGCAGGTGTTCATCGCGAGTCGCGTCCTTGTCGGGATCGGCGAAGGCCTTGCCCCTGCTGCTGGGCTGCGGATGGTCGCCACCTGGGTTCCCGAATCCGAGCGCAGCCGGGCGATTTCGACTTTGGGCGGCGGAAAGACCAGCGGGTCGATTGCTGGCTTGTTGCTGGCCCCTGTCGTCATCAACAGCTTAGGCTGGCAGGCCATGTTTTATTCCTTTGGATTTCTTGGCCTACTTTGGGCAGGTATTTGGCTGATCAAGGGCAAGGACCGCGATGGAAGTGCGACTGTTGACGGCGACGAGCCCATCCCCTGGTTGTCCATTTTAAGCACGCCACAGCTGTGGGGGGTAGTCGTGGCACATTTCTGCCACGACTGGGGTGGCTATGCTTTGCTGACATGGACCCCGACCTACTTGAACCAAGCTCTGGGATACAACTTGGAAGGCAGCAGCGAGCTCACTGTCATCCCCAGTGTTTGTGCTGTTGCAGTGGCAGCAGGTAGTGGGATTCTGGCTGACAATCTCCATGGCAATGGCATGGACCTCACATCTGTGCGGAAGCTCTTCCAAAGTGTTGGCTTTTTTATTCCTAGCCTTATGTTGGGACTGCTCGCCACCACTGCGACAGCGGGAAATGTGGAGCCCGGGTCGCTGATGCCCATCGTGCTGCTTACCTTCGGCATCGCTTCTGGCGCCTGCTCGTACGCTGGGCTCTACTCCAGCCATGCTGACTTGAGTGCCAAGTACAGCGCTCTCGTAAATGCCATTTCAACCACTTTCGGCGCACTTGCAGGTGTGTGCTCAAATGCTTATGCTGGCTACATGCTGAAAGCCACAGGATCCTGGTCACAAGCCATTTTCTTGCCGTCAATTGCCCTGTACGTGGTGGGATGGGCTGTTTACACCTCGTTTTACGATGCAACACCTGTTGATTGGGATACCAAGGCTAAAAAGTAGTCGTTTCTGGTGTTCCATTGCCAGGAGTTGTCAGACCAGACGCACGCGAAAAAGCTCTGCGGACCAAGACAAGGACCAGCTGCACGAAATCAACTGTTGGAGCAGGATCTGCAGGTTGTCAGTTTTCGGTTGGGGCGCAAGTCTGAAGTCAGATGTCGGGGCCGTTAGAACCGTAGGATTGTGGATGATCTTACAAGACTCGAAGGTCTAAGAACGGAGTCTGCCAATTCTCTTATACAAGGGCCGCCAAAGCAAGGAAACTAGCCTTTCTAATGGTTCCGGTAAACAGGAAACTGAGAGAGGTCCCTCTATCGCATTGTGCCTGACAGATTCTGGATTTTCGTTACTGTTACGACTGGTCAGACAGCATGGTTCCACTGGTGCAGTGCCAAGCCCTGGTTCGAAGATGATGTTCAAGAGCTACCTTAAGCTGCCGTGAGCTCCATGAAATCTATCTTCGCAGCTTGCTCTTGGCTCACTTGAGCTGCCGGCGGTCGCTGCCTGCGGTCGTGGCCGCCATGTGGCGGCTGGTGGCTGCCTGAACTTTGCGCCTTCCGCATAGTCGCAAGCTTTTCCCAAGCTTGTCCCATCCGAGGCGGGCCAGAGAAGGCTTGGGCTTGGACCCATGGCAAGGACTGCGGCGTTGTTGGATTCTCTGCAACTTCCAGTTTCTGATGCAGTCTGTCAGGACCCTGCCCGTCCTCGATCGAGCTTGTGTTCCGGGTGGACCCTGTGCAGTACCGTTTGTGGCGAGCTTGCCCAGCCAAGCTCGATTCGCGTCCGGGCACAGAGATGCTTGGCTCGAGTCAGAAGGAGTGTGGCCTTAACACCTGCGCAGTGGCATCGCGCGATCCGAGCTTGAGGAAAAATCTGAACCATCGCGGCTGCCTTGCACACCCAGCGAGGGGCAAGATCAAGGCCAGTCAATCCTTAGCATCCGCTTGAAGTGGAAGAAGCAAAGATCGCTATCCTTCAGGCAAGCGCCAAGTTCCTAAAAGGGAGGCTGGGAAGCAAACAGGGGACAAGGATTCCTGCTGCCGCCGTCAAAGCAGGATTGGGAGATGGAGCCCCTGATGGCAGACGTGCATTGCTTAGAATGGGCTAAAACTGGAGTCCGTGCAGCGCATTAACTCCCAAAGCGGTGCCGCGAACGAGGCCAGGGTGTTCTTGGTGGCCGGGGCTCTCCTGTGCTTTGGTGGAAGTCTCGTCTCTGTTTATGCCCGGGCCCCAGTCTCGCAGCAGTCGCAGCAACTTTCGTTTGGTCTGCACGGCTCTGCGGCAGGTAGCTGTGACACATGATCCGAACCGGAAAGAGGATCGGACTGTGCTGAAGCGAGGGGAATACATCGCTGGTGGTAGTGTTGTCCGCACCTTGGCAACTGCAGCTCCGTCGAAGCAGTTCGAGAGACTGGCTCATGCACAGGTCGGCGCCCTGGTCATGATGGTCCTCATATTGCGTCGATGAGACGACGTATCTAGCATCTGAGCGAAGAGCCTCAGCACGATGCGAGCTGAGGCTGAGTGTAGCCTGCCGCGAGACGCAGTTCGTGCGCGGAAGTGCCAATCCGTGTGCCGTTTCACTTCGCGAGACCATTGTTTCACGTGCGCAGTGTGTGCCAGACATGACAGACTCGATTAGCAGGTTTGGTGCCTTGCTGCCTCCATCGTAGGTCGTTATTGGTTCACTCCAGCTCCGCTGCAGCTAGAGTTGTTGCTCACTGCTGTGACAGCTCAAGATTGCAGCCGAGTACATCTGTCGGGCCACGGCAGCCAAAGCTCAGGTAGGTCGATAACAATAGAAACTGAGTCGGTGAGTCCTTTGCTTAGGCCTAGGCCAAACAAAGCAAGCCAGGGTCAGGGTGGTGTCGCCCTCTTTCATCACGATGGCGAAGGCAACTTGTTCATGTGATGCCTGCACTGAACTTGCTTGGAGTGTTGCGCTGCGAGGCTTCTCAGCTGCTGATCTCCTTCCTCTCTGATCCTCACGGCAGCCAAAGGGGTTCTACTCGTGGGGCAGCCTTCCGCAACTGGAGCCCGTGAGCTCGTGAGCCCGTGCCCGTCGTCGGCAGTCTACTGACAGTCTACTTTTACTCTCGCATGGCTTCCAGGAGCAGCTTCAGTGCCGCCGGCCCACCACCTCCAGGAGGCTACGGTGGGCATGGTGCGGGCGGGGGTGCATCCAGTGGGTACGCCAGCAGCAGCGGGTACCATGGCGGATATGGTGGGGGTGGCTATGGAAGTGGGTATGGTGGGGGTGGACATGGAGGAGGATATGGCGGGGGTGGCTATGGAAGCGGGTACGGTGGCGGGGGTGGCTATGGAGGTGGAGGGTATGCGGGAGGGTATGGTGGCAATGGTGGGTATGGGGGAGCTCCTGGTGGCTATGGCGGCAGCCCGCAAAGTGGAGGTCCACCCGGCCCGAATCCCTATGGCGACTCCTACCGGGATCCCTATAGGGATCCGTACGGAGATCCTTATGGTGGTCCCAATGGCATGCCTCCACCGAAGGGCCAACCCATGCCCGACGATTTCGACGAAGGCCCGATCGCTGAATGCTTGACACCTTCAGCGCAAGTGACTGCACAGGTGCAGGGGAAGGGCTGAATATGGTGGAGGCCGGGGCTGGCTTGCCTCCACCGGAAGAGCCTGTTGACGAGGCCCTTATCCGTGAGAGGTGTGCTTTTGCGTTTCGAAAGCATGAGTGTCTATTGCCTCCCCCAGAGGTGGACATGGATCCGGATGCCATGTACGAAGAAGAGGCTGCTCCGGAAGAGCCGATCTCCGAAGAACCGGAGGCCGGCTATGGAGAAGGCCCACCTCTGCTACTCGTCGCGGCCTCATCGAGCTCAGGCTCAGGCGAGCTCAGGAGTGATGCAAGGTTTCACGGAGGCAGTGTCTCCAGGCGACATGTTTCTTCCCATTCGTGATCTTGCAAGTGCAAGCCTACTATCCCTGTCACGGAATGCGGAGTTCAAGCTGTACAACTTGCGTTGTTAACTGCGCATCTGTGAATTGCGGAGTGGTTGCGGCTGAGGTCAACAACGAAGGCCAAAATATTTTGGCGAAGGAAAAGACCAGGCACAGCATGCTCGCATTACGACTTTCTCTGCAAGGAAATGCGACACAATAAATGGAATAGGTGTTACCGTTACCTGTTCTACCCTGTGTATGGAGACTTGATGTGCTAAGCACATGTCAGCATGTGTGACACTGTCACTGGTGTCGACACTTGAGGCAGCTGATCAACAAAGTCAACATCTTGTCAAAAACCCTTCAGGCTGGAGAGTTGCAACGTCGGGCAGTCGCGTTCAAGATTCTTTCACAAGTTGATTCGGGATTTTCCGGCCTGCTGCACTTCCCGGCTTTCTTTCGCCTTTGGAGCATTCTCAGGGGGTCCTCTGTACCTCCCTCTACGATCTGTGGGGCCTTGAACATCTCGGACTGCGGGGCATGTCTGCTATACTGACTGGGAAATATTCCGTGAGGCCAAGCTGCCGCTTTACGACGAGGGAACGCCTTGACCCTGGTACAGTCGCCGACAGATTGCGTGTTTGCAGTCACATCGGCTGTTTCGACGGGCCTCGATCCTCCAACAAATGTCCAGAGCAGAGAGCTTGGCGTCACCTCCGGAACCGGCAAGCCCTTCGAAGTTCACGTTCGTAGTTTGCGGAGAGAGCCTGCTTCGCGATTGGCAACTTTTGCCGCCCAGGGACCTCCCGGAGCCCGAGGATGAGATGAGGGAGATCTGCAGGGCCAGGGAGGCGCCCCCTGAAAAAGGGTGCAGTCGAAGCGACCGAGCTGGATTTTCTGTGCACCGGTAGGTGGAGATCAACAAGCTGGAGCAGGCGCATCCTCAACTGTTAAGGCTGTTGCGATGGCGGTGAGCAAAGGTAAGTGAATCTGGAGATGTGAGGTCGGGAATTTTTATGGATTCGGGCTTTCCTTGGGGTCCTGGATTTTCAAACCATCCTCGTAGTCCACGTCATGGGCTCTAATGACACGGGCTTTGGTCGGTGATGTAGAAGGCGAAGACGGCTGCCGAGATAGCCCGCCTGGAGAACGAGGCGACTCTGGAGGGCATGGCCTCCACGCCAGCTTAAGCGCGTTTAGGTGCTTTGTGAATGGTCGTGCAGACAGCTTCCTAGTCTGTTTTGGCTTTGGGGTGCCGCTCCAAAGGATGTGGGTATTCTGGGTATTTGCAAGCGGTTGGTCTTTGCAAATGAACAGGATGCAGAAGGTGGTGCCGACATAAACATCGAGGAGGAGGCAGGCATCACGACTTGAAGGTAGTTGGTGCTGCGGCGATCTGTTGCAGGCGAAGAAGATAAGATCCGAGTGGCCGGCTTGACCCTCAAGAGGAAGTCAACAGCACCAGGGCACTACTAAGTGTTTTCAAACCAAGGGCGACGAGTACGACGACCATGGAGGATATCCCGGCCCTGTGCTTCGCTGCAAGCAGTCGCTTAATCGAGTTTGATTAGTGATCATTGGTTAGATCTGAGGATGCCCACTACTACCAGGGTTATGACTACGGTGGTTACGACTACGGTCACGGCGGTCACGGCCACGGCCACGCTGCGGCGCCTGGTGCTCCGGGGCCGCCTGCGGCTGCCGTCTGCCCGCCTTCCCTGGCTAGGGGCTTATGTCACTACATATTGCGCTGGCGATGCAGGCGTTGGTATATGTTGTGGTGATCACTCATCCGTGTGAAGGTTGTTCGTCTCCGATTCCGCACTCGCACAAAGTCGCGCCTCCTTCCGCTCGTCTTTTTTTTGTGTTGCCTCGTTGACCTCTTCTTATCCTGTCGTCATGGCTCGACCCAACGGCACTCATTACAGTGATGAAATGCATATACAGTTCTTGCAAGTGAGCATGGCAATAGACATCGTGGACGACATGGAAGTTTCTGCAATGATGCAGCAAGACCCCGCAACCGAGGTGGCGCTTGCAATGCTGCTGCCGCACGTGAGGGAGCGGCGAAAGCTTCAGCGTGAAGCAGGCTTCCTTAGCCAGGCCGTCTTCTAGGGGATCGTGTTCGATCTGGTCTCAGGTTCGTCTCACCAATTCTCAGGGTTTGGGAGCCAAAGCCGCTCGCCGGACTCGCCCGGACGCGTGAGCAATGTGCCAGGCGCGAGAGTAATTCTAATGCTACGCAGCCCGCCTCGGCCGCCGGCTGCAGTAGGGCCAGCAGGGGCGCAGAGCAGGGGCCAAACTGCGAAGGGCCTCTTAAAGCAGGCGTAATTTAGTTGCAGGGTCAGGGCTACTTGGAGAAGTGTGGCAAGTGTAGAGCAAACACATGCAGCAAAACCCACAGTGGAGCCGGGGGCAGGCCGAAAGAGAAGAAAAGGTGAAAGAAAACGAGCAGGCAGAAGACAAAAAACAAGGGGAAGCCGGAGGAGGAAGGGGGGGCCGGAGGAGGAAGGGTGGGGGGGAGGGGGGGGGGAAGAAAACAAGCCAAAAAGAAGTGCACGAAAAAGTCGCAATGGAAAAAACACGCGAGGGCAGGACAAGACGGAAGGGTGGGAAAAGGGGCCGGGAGAAGGCCCGGGGGGAGGGAGGCCGGGGAAGGGAGGGAGGGTCGGGGGGGGGGAAGTTTCAACGAGGAAGCAGGAGAGCCAAAGCACGCGAACGAACCATGAGAAGAAAAGACAGTGGAGCCGGCCCGGGGGGGGCAGGCCGAAAAAGCCAAAGCACGCGAGCGAAACATAAGAAGAAAAGGCAGTGGAGCCGGCACAGTGGGGGGCAGGCCGAAAGAGGAGAAAAGGTCGAAAAAACACGCGAGGGCAGGAGAACACGGAAGGGCGGACTGACCAGCCGGAGGAGGAAGGGGGGGCCAGCAAGAGGGGGAGGGGGGGAAGGAAGGAAAACAAGCCAAAAGAAGTGCAGACAAGACGGAAGGGTGGGAAAAGGGGCCGGAACAAAACAGCAAAACGAGAGCTTCAACGAGGAAGCAGGAAAGAACAGTGGAGCCGGGGGCAGGCCGAAAGAGAAGAAAAGGTGAAAGAAAACGAGCAGGAAATCGAAAAAACACGCGAGGCAGGACAAGACGGAAGGGTGGGGAACCAAAAAAGGAAAACGAGCGAGGAGGGCAGAGGGGAGGACGGGCCGGAGGGGGGGGGCAGGGGAGGGGGCGGCAGGGCAGGGGGGGGGCAGGGCGGGGGCAGAGGGCGGAGAGTGGGAGGGTGGTAGGAGGGGGGAAGGGGGGGGGGTAGGGAGGGCCCCGGGAGGGGGGGAGGAGGGGGGAGGCAAATTCGGCAGCAAAAAAGGACGGAAGCCGGGCAAGGGGGTCGAAAACAGTCGCTAAAAACGGGTGGAAGTTTGCGTTTGGGCTGCAGGGAGAAGGATTAGGTAGAGGGTTGGTTAGTATTAACCATCAAGACGCCAGAGGCCTTTGGCCTCGGCGGATTTTAGGCATTCCAACTCGTGCGGAATGGATCTGCCCGCTTTCTCGATCAGTACAGCGGTTTAGATTTGGGAAGTTTGGGTGGGAACCCCCCCCCACCCTGAACAGACACAGCAACACCGCCCTTACTCTTCCCACATGGATTCCGCTTGAGGCAACGGAACCCAAGTCACTGCAACCCCCAGGTCCTAAGAAGCGGAAAGCTGACCCCCGACGGCTGACGGCCGACGGCCGGCCCATGCAATGCCTGTGCGTCTTTTGCTCTTCGCGCTCACGCTCGGAGCAACCGAGGCTCGGGGGACCTGGGAGGAATTTTCAAATCGACATCAGAGAGTCTCAGACCATGCTTCTCAAGCTTGCGACGGTGCCGTGCTGTCGAGGTGTCAGGTGAAGAGAGGCTGGACTTTGCAGGCCTGTGGTTTTTGTTTTTTGAAGTCAATGAAGTGTGGCATCCAAAGCACTTGACCTTGTCGCAGGTTCAGTGAGCAACAGAGTCGCCTCGGATGAACAGGCATGGAGTGGGGGACTGCAGCATGAGCTATGAATGGGTCGAACGTGCGAAGCAGCATGGTCATCGCTGATGGACTTCAGTTGATTTGAAAGGGTCAACCTCTGTGTATTCTCTACTGACAGCCCCTAGTCATCCGAGAGGTCGTGGAGGGAACCATCAGCCTGAATGGCACCATCACGCCAGAGATCGTAAGCCGCTGGCCGTGAATACAGCTGGGAAGATGCACGCATCACTCTCTTCTTTTGCAGCTCCTTGCATGCCCACATGTACAGAGCTGAGGCAAACTGAATTGGGCAGCGCAAAACGCGCTTGTAGAGGCATGTGGCCACGGTAGCAAGGTGCGCCATCGTCTCTTGCCTGCGTGGGGTTGTTGATCCGGTTCCCTCCGAAGCCCGCCTGCTGCATGTTGTGACAACGGACTACTCCGTCTCACGATGACCCTGTGTGAACGCAGGTGGACGCCAGCACCAAGCTGGAGCTGTCGCCACGGACTCATCGCATCTCGGAGTGCAGCGGAAGGGGGAATGAGTGAAACTTCAAGAGGCCTCGTCTGGGAGTGGACTCTACCAAGGCGCTGTTGACGTCAAGTTCTGGGTTCTGCCTCGCATGGGGGGAGGCCTGGGTGTTATTGTCCTGCAGGCATCCGAAGGTATCAGTTTGCAACATTCCAAGTGCACATTAGAAGCCATTGACTGAGCCCTCAGCAGAGGAAGCACCATGACACGTCCAGTATCCTGCACGGCCCCAGTCCCAGTGACGCAAAGCCGACGTCGGCTCAGGAGTCAGGACCCCAAGATCGCACGATGCAATTACTAATACTCACATGCACAGTGCGGGGGGGCTGTGGGCGGGAGGCAGGGTCCTTCATGATCAAGTCGTCTGCGTGGACCACAAGTATGAAGGTCTGAAATACATGTTGAGGCACAGTGGAAGCCGCATCAAAATCGGCAAGCGCCAACTGGAGAGACACAAGCACTAGGGTCACTAGGGCAGGACAGATGTCAAGAAGAGGATGCCACACATGCGTGTGCTTGTTGCTCCATAGCAGGGGATGTTTTGCACAAGTTTCCGGCATCTAGACCTTGCAGACACTTGACCACTGCAAGTCAGTCCTTATGAAACCAGTCGGACATCATGAAGGCCCTGTGCACACATGCAAGTGCTATCCAAAGCGTGAAACTGCAACGCCACGGCGGGTTTGCACGCAGATTAGCAAGGGCAGACGGTCTGTCCTAATGGAGAGAGAAAAGGAATCTGGAGCTTTGAAGCTAGCTACTTCGCGAGGTGGCGACTGTGCGATGACGCTCGTGGAGGCGGCAGCGGGCGGCTTTATCCCTCCTTTCCCCTTGTCCGGCCCAGACAGGACCCTTGGACGGTCTACGATGCAGAGTGGGTCATTAGTTGCAAGCACATCAAGCGATCATCTTTGCGAACGTGCCATCCAAGGAAGCCGACGTTTCGGAACATGATGCAGAACCAATTGCACCCTGGCATCTTCCGTTCAGTTGCAGATGCCAGGGTGGCCCTGGGGGCCCTGCATGTCAGCCCAGGGCCTTGATCATGGACTCCGGAATCATGTCAGACATGTATCTGCGGCTGTGGCGCGTCACCTGCGCGGTGAAGCCCGTTTGGAGGAGACCGGGCTGGGAAGTTATCAAAGGATTCCTTTCAGTACACCTGACCTGCACTCTTCCCCTGACCCCACCAGGTCATGACACCTCGGCCAGTGGTGTTTGTCTGTCTCACGAGACATCTTACATCTTACGCTGTGTTGTTGTAGGGTTAGGGTGTTTGGGCTGCAGCGTACTGCAACCATCGTGTGGATGTTCTTCACGAATGGGAGGCTGGGCAACCAGTTGAGCGAGCGGAATTCTAACATGGCCTTGGGCTGAGACGGCGAAGTGAGAAGTGAGACTGAGATGCCACATCACGAGCATCGCTTTTCTTGCATGGCATGTTGGCATGTATTTTGGCTTCAAGGCCTGCTCGACCTACGCCTCGGGATGGGAGGTCATGGCCTCAAGTGCGATTTTCTGAATCGGCTGCAGTTTACTATGCGCTATTTCTTGCATGCCAAGCAGCAGGTGTACTACGCACCGAGCCTGACCGAGCCGGCAACTGCAGAGGGCGGATCCTGGGTTCCCCAGTATTCCACCGGCAACTCCAACAATGTGGTGTCCCTCGGACCGAGAGATTACATGTTGACGACAACAGATGCTCCTGAATCTTTAGTTGTTAGCTGTAAGCACTGCTATTCTCCTAAGTGGAACCCTGTGTCTGCCAATTAGGGACCAGCTTCAAGATCGCTGCCAAATTGCCAATTCTCCGCGCGACACCGAGCTTTTTGGATGACGGCGTCCGATGTTTGCTTCGTTTTGCCTGGAGCTTGCGGTTCAGGGAGGCTACCGGCACGGGCCTCCTTTTCTGCGGCAGAAGTCCTCTTTCCCGCTTTTGTGCGAAGAACTGCTTGCAGCCACACTAACGAGGCTCGGGAACTCGCAAATGCGGACGACCGGAGCAAGGAAACTGCAAGCCGACGAAAAAGGACAGAACCCTGAAGCTTCAAAGGCTACCACAGCAAGCCTCAGAAACACCAAGATAGAACCCTACTGGTAGAGCTTCGAGCCCTTTGATCCTCTACAGCCGATAGAGTTCGAGCAGACTCTAGCATTGTTGATTGATGGGAGGTGCTTCTGCGCGTCGCTGCAGGGATGCGGCTGGCGCCAGCAAGAAGCGTCCCGACAGCTACATGTACGGTGTACTGTGGATTGGCCGAGCCGTCTTTGATGTGTTGATTTCAGCAATCAGCTACAAACCAGTGCGCTGTGCTGGTATGGATTGACATCCAAGGATGGTTCCGCAGCTTGCCAAACGATGGCCGATGGTCTCTTGACCCGAACTCGTGCCAACTGAGGATGTAGAGCGGTGAGTTTGTTGGCAGATCACTGGTGCCGCCCAGACACTGGGGAGTTGGCCCGTCTGTCACACTATGGCACACTTCGTGTAGAGAATTTATCAAGTTCTGTGGCTTGTGGCCAATCCGAGGAGACTCAGCCACGCCTGTCAGCTGCGCGGCGTGCTCGGCCCAAGCCGAATGCCCACCTCAATGCAGTTCCGCCACCTTCGCCTGCACCTGCGCTGCCTTGCCGGTCAATTGCATGTGGGAGACACCCAGACAGATTCTATATCAGCTTTGAAGGAGGCCTAGCCTGGTTGTCGAACCGCGGTCGGTATGATCGGTCAAGTCAGCCCGATCTGAGGAATGGAGAGTGTAAGCCCAGTGGTGGCGGCTCCAGCAATATTCCCTGCAGCGCTTGCGTTTTGCAGGACACGAGTGTTTCGTGGCTCGATGCAGCTACTGGCTGTGAAACAGAGGAGCATGCTCTGTTTGAAGCTTGCAGCAGGACGCTTGCCAAGCCTCCCGGCCACGCGCTGTCGATTTCAATCCGAAGACTCTCGGAGCAAGCACGGTCAGGGGTCAGGGCTCAGAGCGTCCCTTCGAGCTATGCCCAGGAGCATCTTCGCCTTGCCACGACAGGGTGACTTGTCGATCATCGACGCTCGGCTCAGATCCATTCAGGTCCCCAGAGTCCGCAGGAAAGGGCCGCTTCCCTGCAACTTACCACTTTCCTTCTTCCAGAGAGTAACCCCGTGGGACATTCTCTTTTGACGCCCGAGGAGATCACATTCAACACAGCTCTGGGGCCGCTGCGCGCGGCGCGGGGCTCCATGCGCTTCGTCTGTGGCACGGAGGGCCGTGAGCCGACCCGGACCACCGCCGCTGCCTCCGTTTTGTTTTGTTTTTTAATGGGTAACTGGGGATGCGGCTTGCTCTTCAGTCTTCAGGCCATTCAGCACGGGCCCTGCCAAAGCGTGGAGACTCTTGAAGCTTTGCCAGGACTGGTGTCACTCTATTGGAGTACACAGTCCCTGCCTTGGCTTTTCTGTGATGAAATTTGCTTCCAACGCTGCACTCGCGCTCTCCCAGGTCCCTCCGGAAGGCCTCGCGGTGGAAGGAGACGTTCTCAAGGTGGCATCTGGGACGGTCTTCGTGGCAGAGGCTACAACCTGCACTCTAATGGCCGAAGATGGTGTCGTGACCAATCTGGAGGGGTTGCCTTCGAAGCCTGTCGAGTTTGGCTCCTACATCTTTCAAATGAAAGACTCGGTGCCTCCCGCGATCATTTCCTTCCTGCCTTCTGCGGGCGCTGGATCTGTGCATCTTGCCTCCTCAGATACTCAGTTGGTTTCCTTTTTTGGAAGATGTGGTTGTCTCTGGCAGGCACTAAAGAAGTCACGTCGTTCCCAGAACTGTAGAAGATAGTTTCACGGAGGTCGATTGCATCAAAGCACCTGGGCTGCAAGAAGAGTGCGCAGTACTACTGCTTTGCAGTGTCCCGTTTTCCGTGGCTGAAGCTTGAGGAATGCACCTTCACGTTTGCTGTTAAGGACTGTCAGCATAACCTTCAGTGAGAGGCCGTCTTTTTGCACCTCTCAACGTAGCCTGTACTCTGAAGACAGCTAATGTTATGTCGTTCAGGCTTTACAGCCTTTGCAATCTAGACTCTAGATGAGGGGCTGCGCCCCTGCAAGGGTCCGGAAGACCGACAGCTTCGGTGCCGAGCTTACCATGGTGGACGTCCTTGGAGAGCCTCTGGGTACACCAACGCCCCTCGCCCTGGACAGTGTCAACGAGCGGTTGATCAGACTGGACGTGGAAGGCCGGCCGTTTCCCTTTCCAACACCCCTGCAGTGCGAGAGCCTTTCAAGAGAACGGTGCAGGCAAGTTCGAGCCTGGGAGATCCTATCAGCAGCTCGGCCAAGCGGAGTTGGAGCTTACAAAAGAATGAGCGTGAAGAGAGCGGAGACTCCGACTCCCGCGGCTCAGGATCACCATCGCTGCAGGGTCCTTCGTCGACTGGGGGAACCAGCTCTTCCAAGGCCTCCAACCGGGAGTCTATCGCTTCAAGGCGGAAGGCCCGCCGCGGCCGTGTAGGGCATTCCGCTGCCTGCTCTTTTCGGGCTCTGCTTGCATGTTTTTGCGCACAGGCCAGCATGACAACGTCGTGGACATCGATATCGGGGAGTCTGGGCCGTCGATCGTCGTCTTGGTGCCTCGGCATGCCGTATCCGTCGGTGAGCCTGATGAGCACATGCTGTGCGCTACGCATCGCTACGCCAGGCCGGGGCGGCCGGCGGGAGTGCTGTGGTCATCCTTGCATTGGCCTGTCTGGCCTACCGGATGTACGTGGTCTCGCGCGAGCCTTCGGATCTCCCACCCTCGCCGGCCGCCGAAAAGGCATGGACAGAAGAGAGCTCCAGGCTAGGTCCTCTAGGCCAAGGCAGAAGCTGTCGTCTTTGTCGCAGGCTGCGCCGGGCAGGTCTCCCCCTAAGCTCCGGTTTGATGAAGAGGCGCGTCTTGTGACTTCCCCAGCTTCTCTGATCTCCGGAAGCTTCTCGAAGGCTCTGCGAGTCCAGCAGATAGATGACCTCCCGGATTCTCCAGACAACAGGACCGGGCCCACATCCGTCAACTTGTGCAAACCCTCAGTATGAACTGGCTCAGCGGCAGGAAATCTTACAGGTTCGATGACGAGGAAACGAACGAGCCGAGCAACCAAGTCACCAACGAGCTGCGAAAATCTGCCCAGCACCAGGAGTCTGTTGTTTGTTTTTCGCTTAATCTGCCATCGGGCTCCATATGTCCTGCAGCAAGGAGGCAGCGACGGTTCGTCGCAACTCCATTGCCGCTCAGATGGATCTGCCGCGGATTCCGACGGGTCCTACAAATGCCACAAACCAACGTCGCTCATCTCATCACGGGAGCACGGCGAAGGAAGATGCGAAGCATCACAAGTCGAGCCGTGTACATCCGCCGACAGAGCATCGGGAGCCAAGCAACAGACCGAAGAAGGCCTGGTATTTCCACAACCTTCTGCTTAGGGCTTAGGGGAGCATATGTGCACAGTCCTTCGTGCATCTCTGCAAGGAGCCTCCGAAACTCAAGACGGGCCACTTTCTGAGTTCTGCGTGGAAAGAATGATCCGTTGGTGATACGAGGCTTTGCGAATCATCGAGGTACGGCGGTACCGAGCCTCCACTACAACATTGAAGCTCGAAGTACAACGAAACAGAAGGATGTGCAGCGTAAGCGTTCCACGCGATGACATCGTTCCTGGAGTCCTAGGTGAAAGTAGTGCTGGTCATCGAGAGTGTAGCCAGGCATGAATGGCATGAAGATGCATGAAGCCTCAACGCTCAGTTTTTCCTCGCGGCCTTGTCACAAAGACATGCAGTGGAAGAGGTGCTGTGTCACATATTTGCAATGTTGCGCTGCTCGAATCTACCAGCAGGTGTCCTAAGGAGGGCCCCTGTGAGTGTGTGCGCTGCCTCCCCCCATGAGATGAGGGCCAGGGATGCACCAGCCGCAGTGACCGTGCAAACCCACGTCCAAGGACGTTGTTGCGCAGTGTCATTTTCCACCGGCTCGCGTGCACCATGCAGAAGAGGAAGTCTTGCAATCATCCGCCGTTGATGTAAACATGACGTTCCAAGGCAGAAGCATCTTGATTTCTCTAGACGCGCATGAAAGAACGGTAGCTCTGCACTCCTGTGCACAGCCTCTTCGCATGATTCGGCCACTCCAAGCGCTCGTACGCCTTGCACCTTCAGCACGGCATTTCTGTAGCAAGACTTGATCTTGTTCATTTAGTGGTGACCTTGGGCAGATCACCCATTGAAACGCTTGAAGCGCTGCTCGTGTCGAAGACACTTTTGTAGCATGTCCACATCAGTCGGGCCAACCGGCCTTTGATGTTTGCCACTCGGGCCAGAGCTTGCAGCCTGCCTCCATCTAAACGGAGCTAGGGCCTTGGCCAGAAAGTTTAAGTATACTCTTTTCAAGGTTTCTGTTCTGATTTCGCCCTGCATTCGATTCGAGGAGAGAAACATAGATCCAGAATAGAAGATGCTGAAGGACCGAGGTGAAGTCAGAAGGAACAATGCAGCACTTCGACACTGCTCGTTCTCTCTTGGGGCATCGCATGCCTCGGATCGCCAGGCAAACTTTCACGAAGCTGTGCTCATGTGCACCCAGTGGTGAATTTGCAGAGGCGCTTTCAACCACTTAGGACATAGAACCTGCAGGGAATCGACGCTGAAGAATGGTGTTGCTCCAGCACTTGCTTCTCCAAGGTCCTCTGTAAACCGTAATATCTCGAGCCTCGGAATTTAGCTGGTCAGGCATGTAGGCTCGCGCTGTTTATGTTGACATGCCCAGAGAGATTTAGGGACGGTAGATAAACTGCATGATTCTTATCGCGTTTGAGTGTATGTATGTATGCATGTATCCTTGTATCAAGATTTCCGCCTGTCCAAAAAAATTACCTACCTATCTACCTGTCCACCTTGCTACCCAGGTACTCGTGGCTAGCTAGGTGGGAGCTATCCATCCATGTATCTATCTACCTGCAGATATTGACTACCTTCGGCATGGTCGGCGATGTGCCGCTCGTCCGCTGGCTGCAAGGCGTGCCTCTGCATTCTTCGGGTTCATCGGTTTCCAGCACCTGCGCTCGGCTTCAGAACTCGAGAGTGCCAGAAGTTTTCGAGGACGGAACTCGAGCGTGTGTAGCCCGAAGTCCAGCTGTCGGGGAACGAACGCCTTCCGCCAGGTGTGAGCCCAGGGCTTCTGCGTCTTCTCCATGTGTTCAGGAGATCCCATAGGAAGTTTGCACCCCTGGCAGTGGAGAGTGCAAGACTAGTTACTGTTGCTATTGGTTGAAGAAGGCACGCTCACGTACTCACCAATGCATTTATGTGTTCAGCATTGAGGCCTCTTGATTTCGATGTTCATGTTTAATAACTGCATCGGCATGCCACAGACTTCTTCGATCCGCTCCCGGCACGACAGGAGCAGAAACTTGCTCGATGTGCGCAGTCTCCAGCAGGGAACTCGGGTGTTCACAAGTTCCTGGATGAAGCGAAACCCTTCTCCTCCTTATAGGCAGATGGACGCTGGAAGTGTAAAGCGGCTGCTGGCCGCCGGGCTCCCGGATTCTTCCCAAGAATGTCAACGCCCGGTATGAGTGGGTGAGATCTTCTGGAGGAGCTGCAGCAAGCCGGAGCAGACCACAAGGACATAAGGCCTGACGAGTACTTCTGCTATCTTCTGCTCACTGCTCTAGCGAGATTTTCTTGTAACAGAACTGCTTGATGTCCATGCAGGGCGCTGCAGGAAGCATTCCATCCAGGTCGTTCAGGCTGGACGCTGTTCATATCGGGGCTATCTGAGAGAACCGATCAGTCTGGAGTAAGTTGGTAGGTTGCAACGTTCGAGAAACTCCTCAAAGTCTCCTCTTTCCTTGCCTACTCACAGTCAGAGTGTGTAGGGATGCGAGCGATCTCTGCATCGGGCCGCCGGAGAAAAGCTGCTGCTCATTCTGTAATGGGCTGTCGAGGCCTCCAGAAGGAGTGCAGGAAACACGTAGAGCACAGAACTTTATCGCCACATGCAGGCCGACGAGTCATTGTGTGGTCGGACGCGCATGACGAGCCGGAGGAGGCAAGCAGCTGTCGAAAGCATCCGCAATCTCGTGTTGAAGCAGCCATCACAGCCGTTGCGCTTCTGCACTTCCCATGTTTGTTGCTGGGACTACAGCAGTCTCTGCGATTCAAGCACCACCCAGATTCACGCACTGCGATTAAAGCGCGGAACTCAATTCCACCACACGCAATACCGGAGGGCTTAGGGTAATGATATAGGACTGTGTGTGTTCAATGTGTGGGTACGACATTTAGGGTCTGTGGACTGCAGCTTGAGAGATTCAGTGATCTTACTTTTTCCTCGCTACGGGTTGGGGTTTGGCTGGGGTTTTGGGGTTTAGGTTTCAAAGGTTTATGGGTTTCGGAGTTAAGGGTGTTCGGGCTTAGTGTGGTTGGTTTAGGCGTTGCTTTTTCGGAAAGGGGGTAGTGTTTCAAAGTGCACGGCGTCTACGTTCAGGGTGTCGGGCTTAAATTTGTGGTTCCGAGTATGCAGGTTTTGAGGTCTTTTGTGCGATTCAGGGCATGTAGGGTTTATGGCTTAGCTTGTACGGTAGATCTTTAGCGGTTAGGGTTCGGGAGTTTTAAGGTTTAGGGTTTACGGTCCGGCAAGATTCAGGGCTTCATAGTAGTAGTAGTAGTAGTAGTAGTAGCAGTAGTAGCAGTAGTAGCAGTAGTAGTAGTAGCAGTAGCAGTAGCAGTAGCAGTAGCAGTAGCAGTAGCAGTAGCATTATCATCATTATGATTAGTAGTAGTAGCAGCAGTAGTGGTGGTAGCAGTAGCAGTAGTAGTAGTAGTAGTAGTAGTAGTAGTAGTAGTAGTAGTAGTAGTAATAGTAGTAGTAGTAGTAGTAGTAGTAGCAGTAGCAGTAGTGGTAGTAGTAGTAGTAGTGGTAGTGGTAGTGGTAGCAGCTAACGGATCGTTAACTGTCGTGCGTTTTCGTGCATTTCTGAGGATTCGGACTTGTCTTGGGGAGGGGGGGGTGGGGTGGGAGGGGGAGGGGTCAATAACGTCCGTGCTGCCTGAGCGTGGGCCAAAGCCTCCTGTGCGCAGTTGTGCAGCCGCCTCTCCGCAGTTGTGCTGGCTCCATATGGGAGTGAGTCAGTCTTCGCGACAGATTCCAATCTATCCTATCTTCTGCTCAACTCCGATGAATTAAATCTGACGAAGTTGATCCGATGCAGTTCCCTGCGATGGGCACATCTCACGAAGATGATCCGATGCAGCTTTCGCGCCAAAAAATCGCCAATCCTCCTCAATCAATACGAATTCCCAATGTTTTCATCCTGATTCCAATCTATCCTATCTTCCACTCAACCCAGATGAATCTCTCAAATCTGACGAAGTTCATGCGATGCGTTTTCCTGCGATAGGCACATCTCACGAAGATGATCCGATGCAGCTTTCGCGAAGATATTCACAAATCCGCGGCAATTCCCAATGTTTTGATAATGCGACGAATATGTCTTTTTCATTGATCTCTCTTTGCTGCCACATCCGCGGTTGAAAAAAATCATTGCTTACTCATCTTCGAAACCACGTACAAGAAACAACACAAACTTTGGGGTAAACGGCAGAATCGCATCTTTGAGTGTTGACATCATGAAAACCTCGTTGTGCGCGGTGTTTTCGGCCTTTCAACTACGCGAAAAAGAAGACCCAAAACAGTAAGACGCCGAATCTCGCAAAGTGCTACGCCTGCCAAGGTTTCCACAAAACTAGCTCTGAAAACAGCATTTGTTTTAAGACCTCGTTCTCAGTCTTAAAATGCGCTCCCGATGTGGCGAAACGCTCATTTGCACAAAAAACGCGCGACGGATTCCGACACGTGCGGAGTAGTCGTTCCCCACCTTCGAACTGACATTGTGACATACCTGCGAGCTGGCTTTGCCTGCGTCCCCCGAGTTGCCGGGTAGTACCACCTCTTTTGACTCCCCTGGTTCCATGTTGAGAGCATCACGGGTGAGTATTTCAGATGCTCCGTCGTCATTGTAGATCAGTTCTGGCTCACCTAGCCCGCTCTCCGCCGTCGTCAAACTGTCCCTTCCCCGTTCTCGAGCCCTCCGTGAAGAGCCGCATGTGTGGCCGCGCATGCTTCTCACCCACCACCACTGTCAGCAATGGACAAGTTCTGATTGCTGTCGTGCACTTGTGGGTCTTTGGGACTTGCATCAGTGCAATTCCTCAAAAATGCCGAGCAGGATCAGCAAGTGTTGAGGTATGGTGAGGACTTTCCCATGCGTGTCGACAGCTGTGGCCTGCATACGAAGTGACCATCACTGTGTCAAAGTGCTCCAAATTTTGGTCTTCAGCCGACGCCGAATCAACCTGGGCTGTCAACCGAAAGCGGCTAGGCAGACGGCGATGAACAGCTGCGGCCAAAGAGTCCGGTCATCGTGTCGGGAAGAACCTGGCAGGCTTGGTCACTCAGAGTACAACTCCAAAGTTTTCAAGAAACACCATCCGCAGCGCAACTGGCTGGCAGGCGCCTGCTTCAAACACTTCGCTCTGGGATGAGGCGGACGACATCGCACGACCGCCCCGGTACACTGCTGCGCGCCACAGGGCCCTGGACTTCCAGGCAGGAAGTGGATGGGGAGACCACGAGAGGGAATATGTATGTCTCGTGGACCAGCCTCATATGTGTCAGGCTGGAAGGGGCGTTGCCCATGCACTGCGCCACGATGTTCCGCTGCCTCAGTCGGGGGTCAGGTGGGCGGGCGGTGTGCCCAGGGTCTGCGACAGGATTCGGTCTGTGTGTGCCCACGCTTGAGCCTTCTGCATATCTGCCTGAACCCTCAAACCTAAACCTCAAACCCGAAGCCCGAAAACGGACCTTGAGCCTTGTCTCCTAAACCTTAAATCTTAGACCCGAAGCGCGAAAAGCCCTAAACCTCAAACTGGCGGAGGCGGCAGAAGAGGCCGGTCTCTGCTCCTACAGGATCTCGGGGAGCCCAGGCGAAAGGGTCCGCGTTAGACTTTAAAAAATTGGCTTCTGTTTGCCAGGGTTTAGAATTCAGAGATTTGGAGATTTTAGAGTCTGGGTTTTAGGGTTTAGGGTTTTAGACGTTTTAGAGTTTGGATCGAGAAACACCTTCGGATGATGGTGTTGATGAAAACCGTGGGTTGGTACGAGTACCATTGACAACATCAGTAGTAGCTGTTGGAAAGACGATGACAATCATGTCAACATTGAGAACAGGAGTGTGATGGTAGTAAGAGTCAAGGGTCACCTAATGACAATGAGAATAATAAGAAGGAGACTCACACCATGACAGTATCATCAAGCATGATGCTAATCATCACAACGGTGACATGATATTGGTTTTCATCAATGCAAATAGTGAGCATCGTGACACTTGCGACAATGGTGGCGCTGGTAGCAGATGGTAAGACGAGAAATAACATCGGCCAGACGGCTATTCAGCCCTCGGCAACTTTAAGTTTAGGAAACAACACCGTCCAGCCTGTGCGAAGCAGCACACGCGGACGCAGACCATGTAGGAACGGACCGGCATGTAAAGACCAGGTCGCATTCGATGCTGCGGTTGTCTTCCGGTGAATGCCTTGATCGCGGTGCTCGTTGCTGTTTCAACATCTGCACGCCGCATTGTTAATGGCTCCTGTCTGGAATGTAAGCGGTGTCTGCTGCGATTGCTAGTCTCGTCGGGGTTTCGATGGGCATCGGCCTGCTGCAGTTCTGCTCGATTTGTTGGCACTCCGACGAGAGTGGGTCGGTCAGTGTTGAGTTCTCAGCGTCTGCCGCTGCGTGGAGCAAGGGTAAGGATGGTGTGGATGCCGACCGGGATGCTGAGCCGAGCACAGGTTGACATGTTTTGACAAAAGATGACAAAAGTGCCGACAGAAACCCGGTGCAGAAGTGGGGTTTAAACCAAGACTTCGAACGAGCCGTGACGCAGGCACGGTCCCTCGAATACAGCTTTGAAAGAATACCATGACGCCTTGTGGACTTTCCCCGGCCGAGTGTGCGATCGACGCAGCACTATCACTATCATCATCGGAGCAGTCCTCAGAACACAGCATGAATCAATGAAGAGCTCATAGCAGTCATTCAACGACATCGATATCTAAGCCTTATCTATGCAGAGCCCCAAGCAACCCTCTTTGGCACAAGTGC